GACTTTAAAGCACCTTTTGTGTTGGTCCTTTAACACCGCCTGTCACACATGAAGTGACAAAATCTTTGAACCAATCAACAGACTGCAGTGAGTCTAACTCCACCCACTTGGCACCCCAACAGAGGGTTGGCAATATAATAGGACTGTACGGATTGCTTGGTTTGGTACCATTCCTTAACTTTTGACAGTGAAAACGCCAATAAATGCATACTGTACCGTACCGTACCAGAACGTACTGTACCGTACTGATCGGAACCTGAGAGTTTGGTGGAGGCGGGGCTTTAGAGGGGCCGTATCCCACCAAAACGATGCAAAATATGCCACAAATTCAGTAAAGCTGCTGTCATGTTGTCTGTGTTGTTGTCCATTGTGTTGACTCGTATTACGTTGTGATGACGATATGTAAAAGAGGTAACGGAGCTCGGGTTGGGCCCGGAGCAATGTGGGTGCAGGTCAGCGGGGGACTGTGGAGGGGGGGCAGGACAGATCAAGGGACTTGACTTGTACAAAGGTCTTAATTGTGTCTACCTTTGCTCTCTGTGGTCTTGGCCCTGTTATCATGACATGTTTAGACGGAGCTGTTACCTTTTAGCCTATAAGTCTTTACCTCCACTCTCTCCTCTCTCTCTCCATCTCTCTAATCACATTACCCCCCCCCTTCTCCTCTCTCTCTCAGCAGTAAAGTGTATTATTGATGCTTGTATTCCATCGGGCGGATTGCTTCAGGCTTTGTGTTCTGCTCCTCTTATCCTCTCCGTCGCTGAGGATAATTTCATCACGGCTCTTTGTGGCTGTTTGGTTTGTTTAACACGAGCAAGCTGTGTGTGTGTGTGTGTGTGTGTGTGTGTGTGTGTGTGTGTGTGTGTGTGTGTGTGTGTGTGTGTGTGTGTGTGTGTGTGTGTGTGTGTGTGTGTGTGTGTGTGTGTGTGTGTGTGTGTGTGTGTGTGTGTGTGTGTGTGTGTGTGTATCAGGCATTAGCTTTCTCCTCCTCTTGGGTTATTTTTGCATGGTGGCTTCGGGTTGAACATCCTCCCTCAGGGCTCGGAAAGCAGTAACACACACACACACACACACACACACACACACACACACACAGATGCAGTGTAATGCAATAAAGTGTCAGAGGAAGGTTTCAGACGAGCATCATTTCACATCACAGTGTGTGGGCGGACTTAGAGCTTTAACACACACACTCTTTTTACCTCTCTCCCTTTTTGAGCACCTGTTTTTATGTTGCACACTCAGATGGGTGAGTCAGAGTGGGGGGGGGGGTGAGGTAGGGGGAGACAGGTGATGAGCCTCTCACTGTTTACTGCACTATTTTTTGTTTTGCATGCATTTTTACATTTTATTATTTGCTAATTAACTTAACTTAGGTGTTTCTATTGCAATATATGACGTCTACATTGCGGGTCCATACAGGTTGATAACAAGCACTAACATGAGTCTCTAGTCCGTCTACAAACCCCCCAATGATGAGAAAAGTCCATCCTCTCCGTCTTCTTCCTGCTCCACTTTTCAGAAAATGTGTGCTCAAACAGGCTGTTTGGAGATTTTCCCTTCATGACATCACAAAGGGCAGTAACCCCTCCCCCAGGTGGGTGACACTCCCACAGTTAGGTGTTTGTTCTGAGCCTGCCTTCTCACCAACAATTCTAAGAAAGAGCAGAACAGGTGCTCAGGGGAAAAACTTCACGTCTGCAGTTTGAACTCAGCCTACAGGGGGCGACAGAGAGTAGGATCATTAAAGGTCGACTGCACTTTGTGACGCTCGTTTCCATCCCTCTGGGTCTGGACAACATCTGTTCACAGGACTAATAGAATCACTGTGTCTGCTCTAAATGACAGCACACACACACACACACACACACACACACACACACCAGCTAATTGGTTCATTTCTGCCTGGTCTGTTATAGGCAGGCCAAATGAAGAGTAACCATAAATTTGATCGATGTTATCATGCACGCACACACACGCACACACACACACACACACACACACACACACACACACACACACACACACAGTGCAGACCTGTGCCAAACAGCCACTCTCCCACTCACTGTGCTTCAGCCAAACTCCATTACATCCATTAGCTTATCTGCACACAGAATCGAGGAGATCGAGAGAGGAAGACGATCTGACTCTGATGACACAGCCGTCCCACGCAGGAACAGAGTGTGTGTGTTATAGAGTGTGTGTCTGTGTCTGTGTGTGTCAGAGTGTGTGTGACGGACAGAAAGGGCGATGTAGTGATAACAACAAAGCCAAAAGGTGCATCTCTCTGCTCAAGGGTTCTGCACATGCTCAGTGAGTATCAGACCCTGTGTCCACCTAGCGGTTTTCTTTCTGAGCCCCAGCGTCTTTTTTCAATTGTTTTTGATGAGGAGAGAGCGTTTGCAGCAGCAGGCGCCCTCCGGGAGAAAAAACACAGTGCCCAGGGCCTTTTTTCCGAGAGCTCCAAGCGCTTAAGTTGAAAATCTTTCAAAAGCAAGTTTTAGTACTTTTAACAAGGCCACTCTCGAGACCACTTTTTGAAGTTCTCCAGAGTGGCTTCTTCAGTTCTAAACTTTCCGGCGGCTGGAGCTAGAAGTTTTTAGTCTGTGGGTCGTTGGGGTCACATGTCCCAAGGTTGGACTGGGTCTTCAGTTTTGTAGGTTGGTGAAAGATGGAGTCTCAAACCACCACCTCGGTGAAGGGATGTTTTTTTCCACCAGATGTTGTCGGTCTGTTACTCTGAGCTGTGTCACAGGTTGTGTACTTTGTGTTGTGTGTTGTTGTTGCATCACGTCACACGCTGTGAATCTGTCTGACACTTTAAAACACATTTCACACATTTAGATTTAGAAGTCTGAAGGTTTTATTGATTGAAGAATGCAGAGCAGCTGGGTTTGTGCTTCTATAATCTCATGATGATGACACTCCTCTGCCCCCTTGTGGTCACAGGCTGAAATTGCAGCGTCAGTGCAGAAGAGAGATCACCTTAGACACATGATCTCAAACAGACAGTGTTTCATTTTAAAGTAAAAGCCCTCACATTAGCGGTCTTCCTGTAGCTTAGATTCCCATATTTGATATAAAGTTTTCACTTTGTGTAATTTAAATGTTATTGTGAGGATTGTTGGCAGCATGAAGTTTATTTAAATCTCCTCTGACCTTTAATTGATGTGCAACGGATGATTATTCTTTTGTCTTTGTATTCATCATAATGTTAACGGAGCATTCTGGTCCTTGGGCTGTATGTGTTGGTCTTAAAGGCAAACTTAAAAACAGAAACCGCTGTCACATCACTCTCTTTAAAGCCACCGAATGTCATTGAAGTAAAGGGAGATTTCAGCCTTCATTACTTGGTAGATTTGTGTGTTTTTCAGGTGTTCTGCATCATCGAGAAACACCGGCTTCACACAATCACACAACCAGAGTGACTGATTTTGGCAGAAATTTTCATCTTCTGCAAGCTTTAATTCCAATTTTTGTAAATTGAGTCTGAGAGAGCGGTGTGAAAACATCATCTTCCTGGGGCGCCTGTAGCCAAGTGCAGGGGTCCCCAAACTTTTCACCCCTCGACCCCCATAATAACGGTGCTAGACATCCAGAGGGGACCCCCGTTGTCCCAGGAAGTGGTTTAACATTTCACCTCTCCAAACACGGACATTAGATCAACACACAACAGCCCAAACACCAAAAAACACTCGAAGCAGAACACACAGAATCTCTGAAGCTACTTGCTTAAAAATATACATGATCACAATGGTGGGTAAAATATGCAATTTTATGTTTTTGGAAGGACTCTCTTAACTCCCCTCTCAGTATCTCGCGATCCCATCACTTTAAAAACCACTGGCCTAGTGGTTAATGTGCTCGCCCCATGAAAGGAGTCAAGTCTTTCCCTGCTCTCTCTTCAGATTCCTGACTCTATCCACTGTCCTGTCCTGTCTTTCAAATAAAGGCATAAAAAGGCCCAGAAGATAAACCTTTTAAAGAATCCTCTTCCTCTGTAACAAAGACGTCTATCTCTGTAGAGATCCTTTCTGTAATGTTGTCACTCACTCACCTGTCAGGGATTGTTTTGCAGGCAATCCCAAAAATATTGTAAAAAATGTACAAATAGTGAAGTACATTTAAAAGCAGTGAAGACTAAACACCACAGAAATCATAAATCATTCTTTTAAAACTTCTCTGGTAGATACCCATGATGCAACAGTGCCACCTGCTGGTGAAACCTCTGTACTGACCTTTTGTCACGTCTGAAGTGCTTAATTTCAATCAGTCAATTTATCAATACATTTTTATTTGTATAGTGTCAACTCATAACAAGTGTTATCTCAAGACACTTTACATAAAGCAGGTAAAAGACCTTACTCATTGTTATGTTACATAAAGCAGGTAAAAGACCTTACTCATTGTTATGTTACATAAAGCAGGTAAAAGATCTTACTCATTGTTATGTTACAAAAAGCAGGTAAAAGACCTTACTCATTGTTATGTTACATAAAGCAGGTAAAAGATCTTACTCATTGTTATGTTACATAAAGCAGGTAGAAGACCTTACTCATTGTTATGTTACAAAAAGCAGGTAAAAGACCTTACTCATTGTAATGTTACATAAAGCAGGTAGAAGACCTTACTCATTGTAATGTTACATAAAGCAGGTAGAAGACCTTACTCATTGTTATGTTACAAAAAGCAGGTAAAAGACCTTACTCATTGTAATGTTACATAAAGCAGGTAGAAGACCTTACTTATTGTAATGTTACATAAAGCAGGTAAAAGATCTTACTCATTGTTATGTTACATAAAGCAGGTAAAAGACCTTACTTACTTATTGCTATATTACAAAGACCCGGCCTATCCATCATGAGCACTTTAGCAAAGCAGCAAAAGTTACAGTGGTAAGAAAAAACTGCCTTATGCCTTAAGGCAGAAATCTTCGGCCGGATCCCCGGCTCATGACGAAACAGCCTTTTAAATGTTCCTTCTCTCTCTCTCTCTTTCAGAAGGAGCTGAGCCTTCCCAGAAGAGGCAGTTTGTAAGTACCCATCATCCTCTCTGTCCTCTGTCCAATCAGAGCCTTTCCTGTATGCATTGTTGTTGTTGTTGTTGTTGTTGTTGTTGTTGTTGTTGTTGCAGTTTTTCTCTTCTGGAAAAGTTAAGAAAGCTTTAAGGCTGCAATGCAATGAACCAAACACAGTCCCAGACTCTATCAGGGGGTTTAAGGTGTGATGGATTTGATCATCGTCTGTGCTGCAGTGTGGACACTTTCACTTTCTGCCCGCTGTGCAGATTTAAGTGTGTGTGTGTGTGTGTGTGTGTGTGCGTGCGTGCGTGTGTGTGTGTGTGTGCGTGTGTGTGTGCGTGCGTGTGTGTGTGTGCGTGCGTGTGTGTGTGTGTGTGTGTGTGTGCGTGCGTGCGTGTGTGTGCGTGCGTGCGTGTGTGTGTGTGTGTGCGTGCGTGCTGTCACTCCCTCACTGCTCCTTTCATTATGTCTCAGTCCATGTTCCACGTCTGTGTTTGTGTTTGTTTTGTTTTTTCGGTCTCAGCTGTTAATCCTGATCAAGTTATACAGAGAGCTTCCAGTAAAGGTTAAAGGTCAAAGTTGAAAAGCCGCTGAGTCCGTGCCTGAGTGTGTGTGTGTGTGTGTGTGTGTGTGTGTGTGTGTCTGTCTGTGTGCGAGAACAGCTGAGCATCCAACTAAAGATGCCCACCTATATATATATTCGTGTGTGTGTGTGTGTGTGTGTGTGTGTGTGTGTGTGTGTTTTTCTGTACAGCTGATTTGTTGTCCTGCTCAAAGAGTACCTTCATGTTCAAAAACAAAGTCAGACCTTTAATGATGGAGAGTACTGATGTGTAAGGAGTGTGATTATCACGATGGTACCCCTCTGCAGCGTTTTAGTTTCCCTGAGTGGTGAGGACTCAAACAAAGGGCTTCAGATGACATTGATCTTCACCTAAAGACGCAGTATCCAATGTTTCACTAACATCACAAAAAGTTCAGCTGGAGTTCAACATTCTTGTCATCTTGTTTGTTTGTTTACATTTGTCATACTCTTTGTCTGAGTTGTCATAAATGAGTCTTTTAACTTCTGGATGTCAAAGCAGAAACGGTTCCAGGAGTCAAAAACACAAACGAGAGCTACTTTCACAAAGTCCTAGCTTTTTGTCAGAATGACATCGTGGCCTGATAGTTTGACACTTTTTCTGTTATTGTGGAAGCAGTGAGGTCCAGTGAGCATGTTAAAGGCTGCAGTTCAAAGAAGGGAAACGCCTTGCTGGCAAACTTTTGGCGAGTAATGCTAACATCAGGAAGTGCAGACGAACAGCTTTAAGTCTGATCGGACACACAGGAAGTGACCAGAGGCAGAGCACAACATCGACAGCTGTTCTTCAAGGTTCTTATCAGCATCAAAACAATCCTACACATCATCGTCATCACCATTAAAGTCTTTATGTGTGATTTTTCACGCTTAAATTTGTAAATCAAGTATATCCTCTGAAAATAACTCTGTGAGTCATGACTGTCTCAAGGGCGACATCTGCTGGATCAAAAAATCGCATATAAAGCCTTTAAGATCATAGGTGTTCATAAAGAGCTGGGTCTTTAGCTTTTTCTTAAAGGTACAGAGGGACTCTGCAGATCAAATGGAGTTTGGAAGTTCATTCCACCACCGGGGGGCGACAGAGGAGAAGAGTCTAGTCTGTTGTGAAGGTTGGATCAGACGCCTTTCATTGGCAGAGCGTAGTGGGGGGGAGCGAGTGTAGACCTGGATCAGAGAGTTGAAGTAAGGAGGAGACGTTTCTGTCGCTGTTTTGTAAGCGAGCAGCAGAGTTTTAAATTTGATGTGAGGAGAAAATGGCACCAGATAGATGCCCGCCATTGCAAAACAAATGGTCATTTAAATGTCTTTAAAAGGAGAGGGTGTCATTCTTATATATATCCTGTATCCTGTTTTTTATTCTACAAAAGATCCAGAAAGGTGAATAATAATCTCTCCTGTATGTCTTGTTGTTACATAAGCTGCTGGTCAGCCGTGGAGCTTCAAGCATGACTGTGACTTGTCCAGGTAAGATTTGAAAACAAGGATGTGTTTTACGTCCGAGCAAATAAGCAGATCATTCCACATACCTCGTACCTTCTCAGTAAAGGTGCTCTTTGTGTGACTGAATCAGCCTGTGTGGACGTTTGTGAGCAGAGAGCAGAAGCTGAAACTGGAAGAGTAATAGGTAAAGGAATTAACAAAACCAAGAATACTGAAGGTTTTCTGCCCGTTGTGTTGATTTCCTGGAGGTCTCCTCGACCTCTCTGAACTCTTTATGATCAAAAATCTCTGCAGTACCACCGAGGAATGATATGAAAATAAGAAGAGGTGTTAAACTAGAAAACACTCGTCTGTTATCCCTCCTGTTTCTCCTGCTCGCTCTTTGAAGATTCAGATCTGATTTATCACAGCTGTAATGTCAGAGCCGATCCACAGGGGCTGCTTTCTCTGCTGTGAGATCTTCAGGCTGTGTCCCGGCTGCTCTCTGACTCTGACTCGCTCTCTGAGGAAGTGACAGTTGGCCGGCGGTGGCGGCGTCCTGCTGATCTTAGCCGCGGCTGTTGTTAATGGACACAGATCAGGATGTGATGCTCTGAGACAAAGTGTTACATCAAAGACTGACGGTCCTGCTGACCCGCTCTCTGATTAAGATTTAATGGGACCTTCCACTGTTTTTTTTTTAAAGGAGCAGTATGTAACTTTGACCCCTAGTGTTTAAAATGGGTACTGCAGTCTAAATTCTAAACATTGTAAAGAGCTGTCTCCCCCCCTCCTCTCTACAGTGGATGCTCACTCAGGTCACCATGTGGTGGACTCTGAAGCTTCAGTGTTTATCCAGCTCTGCATGGGTCTGTAAACCTTTCTGTGTTCTAACCTCTCTCCATTTTTCAAAAGCATCTCCAATATTGATCCTAGTTTGAGCACGTTTCTGCTCGTGGAGCTTATTAGAAACATGCAGAGGCTTTTTAGGTCGGGTACAATCACTTCTATCTGAACCACTTCTCTTGACCGCTTCCATCGCTGCAACACCTGTTGACCTGATAACTGCTCTCATATCTGACAAACCGAGGGGCGTCCAAAACGGCCGTGTGGGGGTGCCTGGATCCAACAAATCCATGTATATATGAAATAGAATTATTGTGCATAAAGTTAGAGTCCGCTTTGGTTTGGCTTTTTCTCAGAGGAGAAACAGAAGAGGCTTCTTTTTGTTGCTGTTGTGTAAGTTTGAAACTCAATTTATCCTTTTAAAGTGAGCTGAATAAATCAATTACAATAATCAGATCAAAGGTCGAGATCAATACGACCAAGAACGGAGTGTTTGTTTCAGCAGAGAGAACAAGGAGGAACCTTCAGGGGACATTATGGCAAGGTTTAATTTCAAACACACACACACACACACACACACACACACACACACACACACACACTGTATGTCTAGATTGGTGTGTAATGACATTCTCGTGTCCTGCAGCTCTTACATCACTTCAGTAATCGCTCCATATTACCTCTGTTTACACGTGTATCTGTGTTACGTCTGTGTGTGTGTGTGTGTGTGTGTGTGTGTGTGTGTGTGTGTGTATGTGTGTGTGTGTATGTGTGTGTGTGTGTGTGTGTGTGTGTAACTGTACCCCGGTCAGATCCATCTGTGATCCCGTCCATTGTGTGTGAATTAGCAATCTGGCATGTGAGCCGCATTTAGCCCATTAGGGTCAGTGGTGTCCCTGGGCTTCTCAGAAACACACACACACTAACACACACAGAGGACAGCTGCAGCTCACACACACACACACACACATACTCTGATAATATCATCTGTACTCACTCTGTGTGTGTGTGTGTGTGTGTGTCAGAGAGGAGAGTTTACCTTGTAAGGTTTAAAATGTTGCACTGAATTAAATTGACTTGACAAATAAACTAATAAAAGTCGAGGAGGCTGATTTAAAGGTCAATGAAGGGGCGGCTGTGGCCTAGTGGATGGTGTGCATGCCGTGCATGCCCTATGTGTGGAGGCTGTAGTCCTCCAGGCTGACGGCCCGGGTTCGGGGTCTGACCTGTGGTGGCTCCTTTCCCCTGCATGTCGTCACCCACTCTCTCTCTCTCCCTGGTTTCTGACTCTATCTGTCCTGTCTCTACAATAAAGACGTAACAAGCCTCGAAAATAAATCTTTGCAAAAATAGACAATAACCTAGAACGTGCATACCCTGAAGCTCAAACTGTTTTTGAGAAGCTCAAAGTAAGGTTAAAAAAAAGTTAAAGGTTAAATCAATTCTTGAGGAAGTCATAACAAAGAAGTGAAAACCAAATTAATTTCAAAAGCCAATAAGGATTAGAGTTTATTTTAAAAGTCACAGAAGTGTGGGCCTTGTGGGGAGCGCCCAGATAGCCTAGCGGTAATGATGTTGCCCCCTTGTACAGCGGCTCTCGTCCTTGTTGAAGCAGCCGCTGTGGGTTTGAACCCGGCCTCGGCCCCTTTGCTGCATGTCACCCCCCTCTCTCTCCTCCCAACGTTTTCCTGTCTGTAAATTGTCCCAACATATAACAAGAAAAAAGAAAAAGAAAGGCCTTTAACCCTAAGGGGCCTTAAGGGTTAAATTCAAGTAAAGACTTTCAGAATAAAAGCTGTTAACAATTTAAATATGAAAAGACAAAGACTGGACAAAAACAGTCAACAACACTAAAATGTTGGACATGTTGTTGCAAAAGTTTGTTAAAGTTTGCACATGGAGTGATTGCAGTGAGTGTCTTTCCAGTTTGGGTGTTCTGAACTCTCCTACGGGGAGCAGTCAGCATTGATTTCTATTAAAGAAAAGTTAATATTGTGAATGAATCAGTCAGAAGAACATCTTATCCTCCCACTTGGCTTCATTCCCCCCCCTTGTCTCCCCCTCCCTCCCTCCCTCCACCCTCTGTGTCTCGGTCTGTTGAGGACTCAGTAAGTCCTCTCCTCTGTCAGCGGACAGACTCACTGAGGCTTCCAGGAACTGAGGG